CTCGAAAAATAAATATACACTGAAAGTATTTTTTTTCTGAATGTACTGAATGTTTTCAGAGAGCACTTAATAACTTATGAAAAGTTCGAAATCACTTCAGAAAAGTTTGGACTCAGTACTGAATTACTTCAGAAAAGTCCGGAAACACTTGATAAATATTCGAAATTACTTTGGAAAGTACGGAAACATTGCGGAAAGTTCACTTTGAAAATAATTGAATGACTTAGGAATGGAACATCACTTCAGGAACGTTCGGAATCACTTTTGAAATATTGAATCACTTCAGAAATGCTTGGAATACCTCCAAAAGTACTGAATAATTCCAGATAGTTTTTAATCACTTCCGAAAGTACTGAATCACTTCAGAAAAAATTGAATCACTTTTTAACAGTTTGGAATCAATTCTGAAAGTAATGAATCACTTCAGAAAAGCTCTGAAATTCTTCGGATAGTATTAAATGACTTAACTAAATAATTCCGGAAAGAACTAAACAACTTCACAAAACTTCAGAAAGTACTTCAATTCTCTCTTGGGAAGCACATAATCATTTAAAAAAAAGTTCCAAATTTAAACACTTTAAAACATCTCGGAATCAGTTTGAAAAGTAATGAATTACTCTTCTTTCTTTCCTTTATTCAACGTCGGTCTCTGTTCCGCAATCTAGTGCCAAATCACCGACGGACATCGATTGGCGTCCATTGACGGCAATCGAATGTGCAGAAAGGCAGCTTCCACACCTGCGTAGGATATTTCGCACCCATGCACAACACATATGGGCCGGGACCAACGGCTTTACTTCCCTTCCGAAGGAAGACGTGACCAGAGATTTTTATGCCTCAGAAAAATTCCACCGACCTTGGCTGGGATTGAACCCAGACCCATCGGGGTATTAGAAAGCAGTCACGCTTACCACCGGCGCCGGCAGTAATGAATTACTGCAGAATAACTTCCGAAAGTGCTAAATCACTTCAGATAGTACAGACATAATTGAGCATGAGAATGATTAGCTGCTCGCGGTTGCTACTCCGTTATTACCAGATCACCAACGATGCGTTGGACTAGCATGCATCTGCAATGTGTAAAAACTGGTGATCTCACATTTTACGATAGGCAATAACAGTGCTGGCCGCTTCCAAATGTAGGTCAATTAGACCGTCGAAAACCGAGAGCTCCTCCTCACTTCCACTATTTTTTTTAATAGTTTTTCAACAGGATTCCCTTAAGGGAGTATTGATTCTTATCGCTATGTCACTCAATTGTGACACATCGAAAAAGGTCTCGATTTTGGCAACGTAGATGAAGCACAGTCAACTCTCCACAACTCGATGTCCACTAACTCGATACCGAGTTATATAACCATAATAAAAATGAGTGTCATGGCTACTGTGATTGCGAATTTTGAATGGGATTGTTATTCTATAACTCGATAATTATATAACTCGAGTTATAAAGAGTGCACTGTAGTTACGTTTCCAAAAACGAGATCTGTCTATACTGACATTACATTAAATTAGGAAAGTTTGGAATCACTTTGGAAAAGTTCAGAATCACTTCAGAAAGTGTTGAAAAACTTGAGAAAAGCTTAGGATCACTTTGGAAAGTACTGTACCATTTCAGAAAAAAAATAGCACTTACAGAATAACTTCGAACAGTACTGAACTTTACAAAAGTTTTGAATCACTTCGGAAAAATTGCAAACACTGGATCCGTGTATTCGGCTCATAAAATATTTAATAACTTCAGAAAAGCTTGAATTCAGTAGGGAAAATGTTGAATCACTCAAAGATACCCAACAGACATCGGGCGTTGAATAAGAGCTTATCCATGTAAAAACATGCTCCTTCAGCTAAAAAATAGCTTATTCAGCTGTTGATCAACTCAAATTGTTTGTTGGGTAGACTCACTTCAGAAAGTGTTAAATTTTCTGAACTGATTTAACACTTTCGGTAGTAATGTCATGAGTTCTTAGGAAAGTCTAGAACAAGACCCTGATATAAACGTAAAAACCTGGAACTGAAACAGTAAACGACTGGCCTATTAAGGTTTCCAAAGGTCACGTCAATTGTAACAGCACAAATATCTCTTGTTCTTATTTCAAAGATTTGCGTAGCGACGATTACGTTATTGACACGCAAACATGCTCGAGGAGTTTGGCATTCCACTTTTGTTAAAAGTAGCAAAGATTGGGTTCACGAGGTTTTCTAGATAAAAGTTTTCTTTACGAAAGTAAGTAAGTAAGTACAATATCCAAATGGGATGTGCCATTTTGCATTATTTTACATATATTTTTATGCTTACTATTCTTTTATGCTGGCGATTGATTTATGCTATCTTAACAGCAGTCATAATTTATATCTACTCAAGATATCACAAATCCACCACCTCCAGCATGAATTGAACAGCAACGTAGAAACCAAAATTTTAATCCATATTTATGTATCTATATTTTTTGTTTATTGATTTCATCATCAAATCCATAATCTTCCCCTTATTTAGCCTAGTACTTGTTACTTAAGAAGGGGGCCTCGGAGAAACAAAAGTCCGTTGCGCCATTGCTTCGGTTAGCGCAGTGAGGGCTTCAAGGAGAAAGTCAAGTATGATATGAGATAAATAATAAAATACAAATTATGGTGCTTGGAAAATGTTGACGGAACTTTTGGAAACAAATCATATTTTCAAGAAGAAACGATAAAGGGATTTTGTAGATATTCAAGGAACATTAACGCGATTTTTCCGCCCCTCGGGCATAGCAATCGGACGGTATGAGTTATGGTCAGACGCTGGTTTGCCAGGTTTTTTAATGGCTATTACTTTGACCTGTCTCCATTCAGGCGGTACAATGTTGTATTCCAGTAAGGAATCGAATAAGTCTAGCTAGCGTCTTTTAACGATATCTGGGAGATTTTTCAGAATATTGAATTTAATCATATCGCTTTCCGGTGAGGAGTTGTTCGATGAAAGAAGAGCCATAGAAAATTCCAGCATTGTGAATGGTCTAAATATCCAGAGAGCCGCCACTCGGAGACGCTTCTCGAAGAATGTGTTGTGCTGGAACTGAGTCCGGACAGACCTTTTTAGCGAAATCGAATATCCATCGGTTGTAGTATTCTTCACTCTCATTAGAAGATGAGCGGTTACGCATGTTGCGAGCCACCCTCCACAAGGTGTTCATTGACGTTTCTCGTGAAAGTCCCTAATTAAGTAATTGTAATTGCGCCAATAACCGCGTTTTTTTGCTTTGATTAATTGTTTCAGCTTTGTCTCAAGCTTTGAATATTCCTCGAAGTATGTGGAGGTTTTGTGTCTACGAAAAGCTATGAAAGCATCAGATTTTTCTACATAAAATTTTGTGCATTCTTCGTCCCATCCAGGTGTGGCTGGTCTCCTTTTGAAGGGTGCACTTGGAACTTTTCTTTTTCGTGCTTCCAGTGAGCATTTGTAAATCAAATCGTCAAGGAATCGATATTCTTCCAATGGTGGAAGTGTATCTATATTGATTCGACACCGATTGTCACCGCCGTTGCATATTTCTGCCAGTCGATGCTCCTTGTAAGATCAAATGGAACTCGAGATGGTTCTGCAGATTGAGGGCCACACTTACTTGAAATGATGATTGGCAAATGATCACTACCATGGGGATCAATGATTACCTTCCACAGACAATGCAATGATAGCGATCTTGAACACAAAGATAGGTCGAGTCGGCTTTCTCGAGCCGGAGGTTTAGCTATACGTGTCACTTCATCAGTGTTCAAAATACTCCAGTTGAAATCGTCACATAAATCGTAAAAAATAGCCGCTCTATTGTCATCGTATAGATCGCCCCACCCAGTACCATGGGAGTTCATATCACCCAGAATTAATACTGGGGATGGAAGAATCGAAAATACATTCCAGAGTTGACTACGGCTAATGGAGGTTCTTGGTGGAACATAAACTGAAGCTATGCAAAGGTCTTTGTTCTTCACATTTATTTGGCAAGCGACGATTTCGAGAGAAATTTTGTAGAAAAGGTAGCACTTTGTGATCCCTAAAAGTACTCCTCCATAAGAATCGTCTCTATCCAGGCGTGTAATGTTAAAATCGTGGAAGTTGAGTTCTTTATCGGAAGAAAGCCATGTTTCACAGAGAGCAAATATATCACAATCAGAATTGTGAAGTAACAATCTGAACGAGTCTAGTTTAGGCACTGGACTAAGGCAGTTCCACTGTGTAGCACAGTGATATCATATCTTAAACCTCGTTCGACGAATAATCCATCGAAAGATATGATTAATGCAAGGAGGGGCCATGAAACAGTCAATTGCTTAAGATATGATTCTAATGTTGGAAGCAAGGCAGAAACTAAGCTTCTAAGAGGGTCTTGTATGTTGAACATATTTAAAGAAGTGGACCAACTTTGACGTTTAGTACAGAGGACGTCGTGCACAATATTTTCAAATTGTCAACCCCCCCTCTTATGTCAAGCATCTTTTCATACTTGTCATTCAAGCCCCCCCCCCCCCCACTTTTTGTTCCCTCTGCATATCGTTTTACTCCATTACTATTGAGAAATGATGATGTTTTGAAAGATCATTCTTATTTTCATAGCAAGGAACCGATTTTAATTGAAATGTCCCTTCGAAGAGTTAGAGCACCCTCTAAAGGCACTGGTGTAGAGTACACCTGAGTTCGAAAGGTAACACGTGCGTTCCATGAACGTGCACTGAAGAAATTGTACCTCATGCTCAACGCCGTCTATATTTCGTGAAGACTGTTATCCACCTTGGGCGAAGCTGTTGCTACTGCTTGCTGCTGATATCAATGGATTCGCTTATCTGGCCCGTCTGCTTGCTGCTGATATCAATTGATTAGCTTATCTAGCCTGTCTAATGTTAATTTACGTTTTACAACTAGTTACATTCATTCTCAGTCGAGCATTGGGCCAAGCGGGTTCATTTTTTTTTGTTCAAGAAATACATTAATAGTGATTAAAAGTGATCAAGGTTTTGTTGGTGATTCAAGAAGTCGTTCACAGCCACGTCACCATAATTAGCTTACGAAGATCGTCGTCACCACCATCCACACGCTGTATACTAGCGTGCCGAGATAAGTGAAGGTAGGCATTTTGCGACTTTTGTGTTTGGTCTTCTTTTTTTTTTACGTCGGGCTACGCCTTTTTTTTACTACACGGCCAATGAAATCAGCGCAAATTTCAATTCAGTTTACTATTCGTAAAAAGTGCAAGATCTTAGCGATAGGGTTTTCCAGGAAAAAGTCTGTTATATGAGAAAAGTAAAGATTGGATACTCTCATTCTATTGGTACTACTCCTAGACTGAGTAGTTTTTTGTCATTTTTACTCATTTTACTAATTTCAAACGCATATTTTTCAAAATCATGGGAAAAATGTCATCCGACGTAGAATTTTATGCATTAAAAATAGTCAACCACAATAACGATTACATTTTAACTATTATGTACATTTGTCGATTGGGTGGGGATTGTTAGAATTTTGAGAAATGTAAAATTTAAAATCTCCAAATTAAGCTGAAATGAAAGTTATTACTACTGCTATTATTTTAAACAACTGTACCTGGTATCTCACTTTCCGGCAGGTGCTTCCAAAAATTTAATATTTTGTAATCGTAAAATTGAACATATTTGTAGTTCTTTGGTGAACGTTTCAGCTCAATTGATCATAAGTTAACAAAGCTACATTAAGTCAAAGTTGACAATTTTGTATGAAAATCGGCATGCGCTGCTATTTTATCGATGCTACGATGTTTTTTTTTTGTGAAAAGAAAAATATCTGTATTTTAGATGTAAACGATTCATCACTTACTTCTCTTATCACCTTATTACAGCGCTTGTACTGCATCCTCTTTGACGTGATATTAATTTTTATTTTTGCTCTGCAGGTTCATTGACGAACGAGTGATTGGAAAATAATAACAGGTGAGTCGCAATTTCAAAAGATGTGCATATCGAGAGCTTCACCAGGCTGAAGCAATATAATTTAGAAATTATCTGTATGACAAAAATCCTACATAAGGGCGACATTGCATTAGATAAGCAAGAGAACTTCGTAAGGACGAATTATTAGAAATTCAAAAATATCAATGATTTGGCTACACACTTAGAAAAATGCTTGTAAATTTAGGTGCTCTGAGAGTGACATATACGAGCGTCAATTTTGACATAAATTTAATGCATAACAGACGTGAAATATAGCTCAATCAAACGTACTTTTCGTCGAGCAATGAACTTTTCAGTCTCGGAGTACTTAATATTACATGACATGTTTGTTTATGTCTCATCTTTGATGTCAAAGATGGATTCCGTCACATGTAAAATTAATTATTTCTAAGTGTGTATGGTCCTCTGGAAGGGAGATATTCCTGAAATAAGAATGTCAAGAACATCATGAGGATGAAGCATAAGAATTTTAAGATCTCATGTAGGCGATATTCCAAATATTTGCATATCGTGAACTTCATAAGAACGAAGGATTAGAATTGCAAAATTATCAACGAGGTGGCAATGAACCTCTGTAAGTGTAATATTCCTGATCTTGAGAATTTCAACTCGACATTTTCGAGTACTTCATGAGTAACCATATTCATAAATTATCATCGTATATTATTCACATATGGAGAACTTCAAGAGGACAAAGTATTCAAATTTCAAAATCGTCAATGAGGTGGCATCGCTCCACTAATGCTGGTCTAAGATTCAATTCAGGCATGTCCAAACACAACACGGCACTGCGTACTGTATTTGAACACCGCCACACAGTGGTCCAGAACTGTGAAAAGACGAGCAAACGTCATTATCTCGTGAATCTTGCATTTTTGACTAGTGTTGTGTTCGGGAAAGTTTCTCTTTTTTTGAAATTGACAGATCAATGATTAATCCCCAATCAAACATTATTTTTATTTAAATATTTCATATTCAAGATAAATCTTTGGCAAAGTTTAAGAAAATACAAGAGGTAATCAACTCTGCACACAGTGCCGAAACACAGCATAGCACACTTTTCGGCACGTAGGGCACATGTTGGCACACTGTTAAGTTTTGCCAATCGTACTCATTACTATTAGCGAATTTGTTTATTATCCACGTTGGAACCAGTTCCAAGTCTAGACCTGTGCGTCGATCAAAATATTTTCGGCGGCGGTGTGATATGTTATTTTCTGTCGGTGGTGGCGTCAAAGTTTGAATAAATTTTCCGACACATTCCCGGGAAAAACTTCTGATGATGATGATGGTCCCATCTCATACATCTACAAAGGTTTAAGCTGGACGATTAATCTTTAAGATAATTAAATATGACATTTTTTCCACGTTAGAAAACAAAATATAGCTGGTTACAGTTACAGTTAAATTCCCACTAAAGTTTACAGCTGTTCGCCTTTTTGTCCACATAAAATAATCATAAGTATTTCAAGCAATCAATAAAGGGTGTCCACGATGAAATTGCCACACTATGAAATTGCTCTAACTTTTTAACCGTTGGGTAGAATTTAATGAAAATTTGGGTGGATTTAGTTCATAGTGCATTATTTACATCCTGCAAGTTTTAAAGTCCTGTGATCAAAACTCGTGGAAATGGAGTCGAAAGAACAGCTCGTGCGTGATAAAATCTTGCGCATTCATCACGAGAACAAGGATCTCTCGCATTGTTCCATCGCTAAAACGTTGGGAATCGCGAATTCCACGGTGTCGCGAGTGATTAAGCGGTTCGAGGAACGGTTGACCACCGATCGGAAGCCCAGAAGTGAAGGAAAAAGTATTCCGTACAACACCAAAAATCACAACCGCGTAGTTGGGGCCATCAACCGAAATCCGAACGCCTCCGTTAGAGATGTGGCTAAGAAGCTGCACCTGAGCCGAAGTTTTGTCCAGAAGGCCAAAACTAAGGCTGGGCTTCGAACGTTCAAGGTACAAAAGGCCCCTAATCGCGACGAGAAGCAGAACAAGTCCACCAAAACCCGTGCCAGGAAGTTGTACCTCAACATGCTGACGAAAGTTGAATGCTGCATCATGGACGACGAAACATATGTGAAGGCCGACTTCAAACAGATCCCCGGCAACCTGTTTTTCACGGCCAAGGATAAGTTCAGCGTTTCGGAGCATGTCCGCACTCAGAAGATGTCCAAATTTGTGAAGAAATTCCTGGTTTGGCAAGCCATCTGCACGTGCGGGAAGCGGAGTGCACCTTTCGTGACCCAGGACACGATGAACGGACAGGTGTACATAAAAGAGTGCCTCCAGAAGCGGCTGCTTCCTCTCCTGAAGGCCCACAACGTCCCAACAATCTTCTGGCCGGATTTGGCCTCATGCCACTACTCCAAGGACGTGCTGAAGTGGTATGCGGACAATAAGGTCAATTTCGTGCCGAAAATGTTCAACCCTCCCAACACTCCGGAGCTCCGCCCCATCGAGAAGTACTGGGCGATTATGAAGCAGCACCTTTTTAAACGACCTAAGGTAGTGAAGACAGTCGAGGAACTGAAGAAAGTATGGGTTTACATGCAAAAAATGGTTGATTCACAGGTTGTGCAGAATCTTATGGCCGGGGTTAAGGCCAAGGTGCGGGCATTTGCGTATGGACTGTAAATAAAATACGAGTAAAATGGTAAAATGAAGTTTAATAGTTATTTCTCAATCCCTGAAAATTTGATGGCAATCGGATGAAAACTCGAATTTTGCGAATCAATTTTGTGTGTGGCAATTTCATCGTGGACACCCTTTAGTTAATGAACAATCAACAAAGCATCCTATTACACTAGCAACCCCGCAATCTTCTTGATTTGTTTTCCGTCGATCTTGTTTTCTGTGCTGAGCACCAATGCTACCGAGGCCGGAGGCAATTCTCACACCTGGACCCTACCTATCGACTCATTAGCTCCTTTACTTCCCTTCCATGATCAGAGATGTTATACCTCAGAACATCTTGGCGGCGCTGACTGGGATTGAATCCAGGCCTGCTGGGGTGGGAGATAATCACGCTTACCACTACACCACCGGTGCCGCTAACCCCCGCAATCTGATGCTATCATAATTTTCAGCAATGTTTGGAATGTTCACGAACCCCCGACATCTGCCAGAAAACTTACTACTTACTCCAAGCATCTTCCAAATAAGCTTCAAAAGTGTATTTGTTTTTATCAGATTTTAAATTCAGTCCTCTATATCCGTAATACGCACGCGAGGCTCATACCTTTACAGACTACTTTTTAAAATTAATCTACTACTATTAAATCAAATATTCAAAATCCATCATCACCATCGTGACGAATAGAAATAGTTTTTGCAGTGCTACAATAATTATTAAAAAGTCATTACGACAGCTATCCATATAAAATAATCCGTTAGAGATAACTACGTCAAGATACATAATTTGTCAATTCATAAAAAAAAAATCACTGGATAACTGTTCAAAACACAATTTTAATGTGTGAAATGCAAATTCTGGAAGTGTAGCTGAACGTTTGATATGTCTAGACATCGAATTGAAAACATTTATTCGTTTATAATATAATGAATTTTGTGAAGCACAAGTCAAAAAATGTGGTTTTCTTATTTCAACCGCGTTTCTAGTATTATATCTATGAAAGTCACTTCCTCTTTCAATTCGATCACACAAATATCGAGGCAACAAACCGTCAACTACTTTAAAAATGAACACCACAGTCAAATATACAATTCTTTGCTTCACCGGCAACCATTGTGAGGCGTCTAGCAACAAAGTTGCGGAAGTGAATCTATTAGATCTCGAAATCAAACGCATTATTTTATCCTGCAAGCGCTGTAATCTCGATATTTGTGTTTCATTGGCCAAAAATAAAATGGAAGGGTTAAATTCTAGATGCGGAGAGATGATTGATTTGTATAGCTGTATTTTACTGGTAATAGTTAAATGGTTTTTCAGTCGACAAAGAATTCGCGGAGTTGAACTTCAGTTTGTCATCAAGATATTTAATGTTCCGAACGCGATCAATAGTCTCATCATCAATTTCAACAGAGACGTTCTCATTTAATCGATTCCGCGTAATTACCATAACTATAGTTTTACTTGTATTCAATTTCAACTGCTTATACTTCAACCATCTTCTTGGAGAACGCAAATCTTCATTCAAGTGTAAAACGGCATCATCTTAACCCTTAGCTGCAATGAATAACACAGTATCATCTGTAAAAAGATTAATGTCTCAAAATCGTAATACACGTCACAAGTCATTAATATACATAATAAATAACAGGGACCCTAATACACTTCCCTGGGGCACTCCATGGATATCCCCACGAGAATCATTAAAAACAGTCCGTGGAGTCCTGTCACAGAAATAGCAGAAATGGGTTGAATTTATATGCAGTACACGTAATTCCAAAGCGCTTGATTGATCTTAACAATAAGGGCATATAAATTGTGTCAATAGCTCATTTAAGATCCAAGACATCAGTAACAATCGTATATTTACACTCCAAGTTATTTATCCACTTCGCTAATATGAAATTCAACGCGGTTTCACAATAATGACCTTCCCGATATCCCGATTTTTTTGGTATCAACAAACTATTTCTATTTAAACACCCCAACAGCTGGCCTTTAACAACAAGTTCTAAGATTTTCTCTAATATGTGCAACATTTTGATAGGACGAAACTCTTCGACTTTAATCGTTCCAGCAGCTTTTTGAATAGGAACCTCTGAGGATTCCTTCCAAATTTGTGGCACATGTCCATTCTGCAATGATCCATTAGTAAGGTCCAGAAAGATGTAGCCAATGACATGAAAGCAATTTTGAATAACTCTAGCATTATCATTGTCTACTCCAGCCGAGTTTGCTAATGAAAAGTAAATAACTCTAAATTCATCTAATGTAATTGGGTGAAAACCTTTAAATCTACAATTACTATTAACTGGCAGTTTTATTTCGTCAGGTTCATCGA